TCTTGGGGTTAAATAATCCAGACCGCAGAGAAAGTGAGGGTGGGGGCTGCAGAGAAAGAAGCTCTTGCATGCCCTCCTCCCCCAGCATGGAGTGCTGTAGCTCCAGAGAAGGGGGCTCTTGTGCCACAGTGGATGGAGAAAGTGGAGAGCATTGTTATGTGAGCAGAAGGAGATCAAGGGCCCCGGGGCGCAGGAACACTACAGTGAATGCACAGAGGTCTGAGGGGGGTATTAGCACTGAGCATGGTGCAAGAGCCTTCTCCCTTGCAGCACCCACCCCCTTCTCAGCTGTTTCACTGGTTCTGCTCCTGCTTCTACCGCCACCTCTCCCCAGCTGTTGAAATAGCCCATCTGGCTGGTCACCACCTTGTAAACAAGGCTGGGATGTTTGCCCAGCAGAATGGCTGACTCCTCCATAAAATCCTGGCTCCAGATAATCTCTCAGGACAGCTTTCATCCCATGGTCAGTGCCAGCAGAGGATAGTGGGTGGGAAAAATTAGATCTATGCCCAGGCTATTAAAGGGTGAGCTTGTGGTTATGGTGTTCAACTGGGAGCTAGACAAGATGGGTTCTAGTCTCACTTCTGCCAAAAACTGCCTTTGTGACCTTGGTTCAGACACTGTGCCTCCGTTTCCCCAGAGGTAAAATGGAGTGGAATAATCCTGCCTTTGTCTGCTTAGACCATGAGCTCTTCATGGCAGAGATTGTGTTTTTGGACAGTGCCTGGCGCGATGGGGCCCCAATCTTGGCTGTGGGGTGCCTGGCCTGATGGGGGCCCTGATCTTGGTCAGGGTCTCTAGATACTACCATATGTTCTTCTAGATCAAATCCTCTCTGGTCCTGCAAACACTTACACAAATATCTTTACTCACCCAGTTCATTTCATGGTCATGCTCATATGAGCCTAGCAAGAGAACCCCAGAGACCTGACTAGAGTTGCCAATTTTGGTTGGACATATTCCTGGAGGTTTCATCACATGACATAATTGTTAATTCCTGGAGAGTTGGCAATCCTAGTTTCTAACTCACAGCCTCCTCCCCAAACTATTAGACTGCACTCCTCCACCAGAGCTGAGGCTAGAACCCAGGAGCTCTGACTCTCAGCCCCCCTGCTCTAACCATTAGACCACACTCCTCTTCCAGAGCTGGCAATAGAACCCAAGTGTCCTGACTACTAGCCCCCTGTTCTAACCCAGTGATTCTCAACCAGGGGTACATGGGGGGTACACAGAGGTCTTCCAGGGAGTACATCAGCTCTCCTACATATTTGCCTAGTTTTACAACAGGCTACATAAAAAGCACTAGCGAAGTCAGTGCAAACTAAAATTTCATACAGACGATGGCTTGTTTATACTGCTCTATATACTACACACTGAAATGTAAGTACAATATTTATATTCCAGTGGATTTATTGTAGAATGATATGGTACAAACGAGAGAGTGAGCAATTTCTCAGTAATAGCGTGCTGGGACACTTTTGTATTTCGTCTGAGTTTGTAAGCAAATAGTTTTGAAGTCAGGTGAAACTTGGGGTACGCAAGAGAAATCAGACTCCCAAAAGAGGTACAGTAGTCTGGAAATATTGAGAGCCACTGCTCTATCCCACTAGGCCCCACTCCCAAGCATGGCTGGAGTCCAAAGGAGGAAGCCACGTGTATTAGCGTCTGAGCAGCTGCAGCCCCAGCCCCTTCTTCTCATCATATGAAACCCCTCCCCACCCCCACCCCCCGGGCCATGGCCTGTCATAGCCCAGCGCTGAGCTCACTGCAGAGCAGCTGCAGAAGAGAGCAGCCAACACCCCATGAGCTCATAGCCTCCTCCCCAGGCCTAGCCCAGACAGCCTCCACTGACCATGGGGAGGGGTGCTGACCAGGGAACCCTGTTATCCCAGGGACCACCAGCCGGGTTTGGGGGAGAAGCTAAACTCCAGCCTGGGCAGGGGCCACATGTCCCCTTTGTGTCATCTGGGAGGGAGCCTTCCCCACTGCTTAAAGCAGGACTCCTGGGTTCTATTCCCAGCTCTGGGAGGGGAGTGGGGTCTAGTGAGTCAGAGCAGGAGAAGGGGCACCTGAGAATCAGGACTCCTGAGTTCTAACCTCAGTTCTGCTGATAACATCTTGTGAGACCTTGGACAAAAGCGGGTTTATCGCGCCTCCTGGTGGATACAGTTGGTTACTGCAGGGAGGGCTCGGTGTACTGTACTCTATTCACAAGCAGGGGGGAACAGGATTATCATGACTGGAAACCCCATGCAGCAGCCTGGCCTGACCCGTACCTGGCCTGACCCAGACCTCCTGGCACACAACACCCCCTGCCGCCTGACCTGACCCAGACTGCATGGCCCGACCCAGGCCTCCTGGCACGCACCCCCTCCCAGCCTGGCCTGACCCAGACCTCCTGACATCTCCCCCATCGCCTGGCCTGACCCGACCCAGACCTCCTGGCACCCCCCACCCCCACCTGGCCTGACCCAGACCTCCTGGCACACACCCCCTCCCAGCCTGATCCAGACTCCTGGCACCCCCCGCCCCAGGCCTAGCCTGACCTGAACCTCCTGGCAGCACCACCCACAGCCTGGCATGACCCAGACCTCCCGGCGCACACACCCACCCACCAGCCTTGCTTGACCCAGACCTCCTGGCCCACACCCCATCCCAGGCCCGGCCTGACCTAGACCTTCTGGCACACACCCCTCCCAGGCCTAGCTTTGCCTGTACTTCCTGGCACACACTCCCCCAGCCTGGCCTGATCCATAGCTCCTGGCACACCCCTCAGCCTGGCACCAGCCCTCAGGATGGAGGGGTTCCAGTCTGAGGAGGGTAGTCGTGGTCCTGGGATGTGGGTTGATGCTAGTGTTCCCATATGAGCTCCCCCAGGGTCTCAGAGCCTGCCTCCCCTTGCCCATCATCCAGAGTGTGCAGCTAATGAGGTAGGGGTCTGGTATCAAGGACTCCTGCTATATCATTAACCCTGTGGTGCCTGGAAGATGCTGGTGAAAAGCTCCCTCCAACCCCCCACACAGATTGTAGAGCCAATAAGGAGCCTCACACTTCTTTGTTGGGAATCCAGTTTATTTCCCCTCCTCAGGTCTTCCCTGTCCACCCAATCATCGCCCGTCCCTCCCACCCCAGCCCCAGGTAACCCCTCGCTCCCTGGCACACCTGCCGGTCGCCATGCCGAGGTCATGGAGGTGAACATACCTGTGCCCTACAGAACTGACAGCCAGGGCGCGGCAGAAGGACTGGCTGTCAATTCATAGGTCATAGGCCTGTGCACTGGGTCTTGGGGGGCTGCTCCTTATCTGCCCTGCCCTCATCCGCTCTTAAAGCCCCTGTGTCCCAGAGCTGCCTTCCAGCCCTGCTGCAGGTGGGAAACCGGCTCCCTAGCTCCCCCCCGTCTTTGCTCACCCACTGCCCCAGTGGCTACCAACACACAAGGGAGAGCTGGCCAGAGCCTCCTCTGAATCTCCAGCAGCTTGACTCCCAGCATGGGACTGGCTATTGTCATCCTGTGTTAGGTGTATTACTGAGATTGGGCCTCATTATTATATATATATAATTATAGCTTGTGCATTATTAGCAGTATTACAGTACCATGTGGAGGGGGAACAAAATTATGTCACGCTCACTATTAGTGATATTATGGTAGCTCCTAGAGGCCCCAACTGCAATCGGGGCCCCATTAGTAGTAGTATAAAAGTTGTATCTAGAAGCCATTGTGAGGTGCACATTATTAACAGTATTACAGTAACAGCAGGAGGTCCTAACGCAGATCAGGGTCTCCTTCTAGAGTGCACATTATTAGTGCCAGAATGGTAGCATCTAGAGGCCCAGATTGAGATTGGGCTCTATTATGTGTGCATTATTAATAGTATTATGGTACCACCTGGAGGCTGCAACTGAGCTCAGGGTCCCTGTGGCAGAGCGGGACTCACTCCTGCAGTGCCTCCTGCTGGTCATCCAGGGAATTAGCATTTCCAGCCTCCAGAGCACCCTCTGCAGGCCAGTGTTCCACTTGCTGCTGGCCCCCCCCAAGTCCCTCCTAGACCCCGGTACCCCTTTCACATCAGGATGCTGCCCCCTGGCAGTACCCACACAAATCTGGGTCTCCCCCCCCATAGGAACATGGGGAACCTCCACACTCTATCCCCACCTCGCCTCAGTCTTTGGCTACTGCCAGTCACCATCTGGCCCCCGGGGCAGACTGCAGTACAATTGCCACTCATCACCAGCAAGGAGGGTCTGGACCTACTGCTTCTGCCTACCCTTGGGCTACCCTCTGCAACCCCAGTACCCTTTTCCTAGATCTTCAGCCTGGGGGTTTCTCAGGCCGGAGTTCCCCAGCTCCTCTGGCCTTTCCCCAGCCCTGCTCCACTTTAGGTACCTTGCTCAGCTCCTAGCAATCAGGCCCCTCCCTCCCTCTCAATGTCTAGAGAGAGGCTAAGTCCTCCTGGCCCACTGTCCTCTTATAAAGGCCAGCTGGACCCTGATTGGGGTGTGGCCACAGCTGTGGCTGTTTCCCCAATTAGCCGAGGCTTGCTGCTTTCCCTAGCAGCAGCCCTCTCGCAACCTCAGCCCTCTCCCAGGGCTGATTTCAAACCCTTCAGGGCAGGAGTCAGTGACTGCCCAGCTACAGTCCCTATTATGGTGTGTACATTATTCTGAGTATTACAGTAATACCTAGAGGCCATAGCCGGTATACACCCTCTGGGGGTGGGGCTCAACCCAGCATCTCCTACCCCCCCCCCGCCCCACAAACACTCTCTAGCTGATGTTCCTCCCCTCCTGCCCCCTGCTCCATGAGACGCTCCTGACAGCCTATCAAAAATAACAGCAGCCCCACTGGAAACAGGATGAAACCTTCCACATGGAGTTGCTGTTACATCCATTAGGCATCACTTTCTAGCAGGGGGCAGTTTCCCACTAGGCAGGAGGCGGTGTCTGTCGTCACTTCCAGCCCCAGGGGATCATGTGCAATGGGGGCTTCCTGCATGCTGGGATCCGAGTTCAAGGGAAAGCGTTTCTCCAGGTGATGCTTGGACAGTCCATCGCTGGCGCGAGATGAGAGCTGTGTGCAGGACTCAGGTTGGGATAGAGGTAGTCACCTGCCGGGGACAGGGGATCCTGAATTGGGCACCTGAAGGAATAAGGAACCCAGTACCAATTATTAGCATTATTTATTGATTTATCTTCATGTTTATCATGGAAGTGCATTTGGACCAGCCAGGAATTGCCCCTAATGTGTGAGGTGCCAAACACAGGAGCAGATACGGCTTTGTCTTTTCTCCTTTCTTGGGTTGTTTCTCCCTCATTCTGATATTAGCCTAATAATAAATCATACTAATATTTCTGGAGCATCCCAAAGCATGCCAGAGAGTGCTCCTCAGCACTGAGATGCAGCCATCTCTGGGCTAAATTACTAGGAATAATTTAAATCAAGACATTGTGACTTGCTAGTGAGACACACAGCCACAACCCTTGATCATGTCTGCACTACATATGTACCTACACAGTACTCCAGAATCCTGTCCCAGCAAGCACTGGACTCAGTACAAACCCAGGGACTGGTTCACAGTAGGGCAGTCTTTTCTTTGGTGGTTTCAAACTTCTGGTCAGAAATATGAAAGTTGTAACACCAGCTAAATGGAAATTGTTTATTCAGGGAGCCCTTGTACGGTGCTGAGATATAGCCGCTTCTGCAGTGGGATGCAAAGGCTGATTATACTGGGATCCCTCACCCGGCGCTGAGATGCAGCCATCGCTAGAGTGGAGTGCAGGGGCTGTTTAACAATGCTACACAAACGTTTAGGACAGGAAGAGAAGCAGGTTTGCTGAAAAGTGAATAAAGGATGCAGACTGGAGCTACCCAAATGACAATCAGTACTGACTGTGAGGGGAGAGCGCCCCCTAATGGCCCTCCAGCTCATTCACTGCAGTACAGCCACCCCTAGCATGGCATTGGGATATTGAGGGCAGCACTGGCTGCAAGGGGAGAACGCCCCCTCTGAGCCTCCCCCCCCGCCCACATTCACTGCTGCAAAGCGCCCCCTAGTGCTGAACTCGGGCATTGGCAGGGGGAGGAGAGATCCCCCTACTGAGCCACCCGGAAACTGGCACAGAGTTACAAGTTCACCATCCATGGGATCGTTAGCCCAGCTCTCCGGCAATAAGGAAGCTGCGGCGATAAGGCATGAGGGGCAATAAAGCAATGAAGCCTGCTTGCTTTACGAGCTGCACTGCATGCAGCACCCGGGCTGGGAGCTGAACTTCACCCCTTGGCATCCAGGGTGCCAAGTGCAGTTAAAGAAGGCTCCTTGATAAGGAGCCATAATAAAAGGACTCTGATCCGGTGGGACCCAAGGTCTCTGACAGATTGTGGCCTGGATGCCTAAAGGTCCAGAGTTTCAAGGAAATGTACTGGGAGGGGGCTCTAAAAAAGTATTAAGGATTTCATTCCTTGGACCAGACAGACCCCAAATGACCTCATTGGATCTCAGCAGGGATCAAGATAGTAAAAGCTCCTGGTGCTGCAGGCAGCTGAGTGGGGGCGCTTTCCCTCACAGTCAGTGCCCCCAGTGTGGCACTAGGGGGCGCTGTGCTGTAGGGAGAGGTGTGGGGGCTTCCATGCCCAGTTAATCTTTAGGGAGGAGCTCCTAGTGGGTGAGTGATTTAGCCCTATTCCCCCATGAACCAATAACTCCCAGGCCAGAAGTGTGGAAAGGAGCAAAGAAATAAACCAGACCTTTCTCCTTCATAAACTATGCCTGGATCCGGCACCAGGGAGGGGACACAGAGGCAAATAGGAACATGGGCCAGGCTGGGTAGGGAAATAAAGGAAGAAACACAGAGATTCTGGAAAGGCAAATTAATTCACATGGGGGCAGCAGAACCCAGGAATTTTGACATTCAGCAGCCCCCCACTAGATTCCCCTCCAAGAGCTGGGGATAGAGCCCAGGAGTCCTGACTCCCAGCCTGCCTGCTCTAACCACTAGACCCCACTCCCCTCCCAGAGCTAGGGCCAGAACCAAGGAGTCTTGATTCCCAACAGCCCCTAAACCCCCCTTCTCTCAAATTCAAGGCAGAACCCAGGAGTCTTGACTCCCAGAATGACAGACTGAAAAGCCATATCTACTTCCTGTTCAGACACCTAGGAGAGTCCTGACTCCAGCTTGGGGCTCTGTCCCTCCCTATTGCTGTGCCACTGGGGGTTGCAATGACATCACAAGGCCAAGTGTTCTGAAGCCTGTGGGGCTTGTCGAGATCCCAAGCTACTTTGCACTAGGACTTCCTGATGGACACATCCCAGCTGGGCTGATTCCATCTGGCCTTCCTCTATCCCCCATGCCATGTCAATGAGAGACCAGATTCCCCTTCACTGCCGATCCCAAACTGTTATGCAGTTGTGTGTTGCTGTGTGCTGTTAAACAGCAGCCATGTTCCACCCTAGAGGTGGCTGCATCTCAGCACCAGGCAAGGGATCTTTGTATGAGCAGCCCCCGCACCCTACCGCAGAGGCAGCTGCATCTCACGGCTGGGTAAGGGGCCCCCTGTAGTAAACAGCCCCTGCGCCCAACCCCATAGGTGCCTGCATCTCCATGCCAGGTAAAGCATTCAGGAACACCTTGCAGGGTGCCATGGAGATGGCCCCTGAGTCCCTCCCAGGGGGTCGGGGAAAAGACATGGGCCTGCCCCGCAGGTACATCAGCCTGTCTGGAGACAAATTTCAGAGTAACAGCCGTGTTAGTCCGTATTCGCAAAAAGAAAAGGAGTACTTGTGGCACCTTAGAGACTAAAAACATCTTCTGTATTTTCCACAGTATGCATCCGATGAAGTGAGCTGTAGCTCACGAAAGCTTATGCTCAAATAAATTGGTTAGTCTCTAAGGTGCCACAAGTCCTCCTTTTCTTTCTGGAGACAAAGGGGTTAAAAGATCAATGGCAGGGTTCAGAGAAATGGAGTAGGGTACTAGATAGATTGAAAGAAAACTTGGAAAGGGTCTTACCTTGGCATCTCCCTAGGGTTGGTCTGTCTGTCTCTCTCCCCTTCTCTGTACCCTTGCCAGCCTGGACCCTGCCAGAGCTGGAGGGACTGATGGGTCGGGCGGGGCTGGGCTATCTTTTCACCAGGAGGCCAGGCCCATAAAGCACAAGCAGATTAATGATTAGCCTGGCTGTAAATATTTGATAAGCACCTCGGGATTCAAAGTACAGCCAGCCACAACCCAGCCCTCCACCCCCACAGCAAGGAGGGGCTGCCCCAACAGCCCGCTCTGGAGGAGTCAAAGGCCAAATTTGGCCTGCCCTGGAAGGACCCCATCTAGGGGCTAAATGTCAATAGATTAGCTCAGTCCATTGCCTCCTGGTTCTAACCCCCCAGCTCCCACTCCCCTCTCAGAGCTGGGGCAAGAACCCAGGGGTCCTGACTCCCAGCCCCCCCTCACTTTCACCCACTAGACCCCCCTTCCCTCCCGGAGCTGGGGATAGAGCCCAGGAGTCCTGGCTCCCAGCACCCCCAGCTCTAACCCACCAGCCCCCACTCCCATCCTGCCCCACCCTCCTGCATTGGCTTTGACCCCTGCAAGAACTCCAGGATTAATCCCCATTCCCATTCCCCATTCCCTTCCCCTTATCTGGGGGTGGGGTCAGAGACCCGGGCAAAGGAAGCAAGCTCTGCCCCCTCCCATGTTTAGAGGGGGCAATTAAGCTCAGAGATAGTGCTTCACAATGGTTAAAGATAAACACTACTGTGCTGAGGGGAGAAGGGACACACCCCAGAAGGAACTAGGACTCCTGGGTTCTATCCCCAGCGCTGGGGGAGGAGTGGGGTCTGCTGGGTTAAAGCAGGCAGGCTGAGTGTCAGGACTCCTGGGTTCTATCCCCAGTGCTGGGAGGGGCGTGGGGCCTGCTGAGTAAAGGGGACTCCTAAGTTCTAGCCTCAGCTCTGGGAGGGGAGTGGGGTCTAGTGGTTAGGACAGGTGGATGGGGGCTGGGAGTCATTCTGAGAATAACATCTGGACTGAAATCCCACCACCCTGATTCATGATTGAAGAGCCCCTCCCCAAGCCCAGGATGTGTGCAAACCTTCCCCCCATAGAGGGGCTCACACACCCCTGTTGTACACCAGCCTGCCGTGGGCACTAAGCAGGTAGTGACTTTTGGCTCCCCTGTCCTGGCACCTGCAGCTCTGACCCTGCACAGGGGAGGTTGCCCCCCTCCCCCCCATGTCTCTGGGATGTGCCCCAGTTAGTGGGGAGGCCCAGGCTGGGGATCCTTCCCACACCTTATCTCCAGAAAGCAGCCAGGCAGTTCACTGGCCTGCAGGGCGGGTCCCAGAGGTGCAAGGGAGAGAACTTTCAGTTTTGGTGGCGTGTCAGGGCCAAGGGCAGAGCGGAGGGTGTGTGCATGTGTGTGTACGTGTGAGCTCCCCACTTCCTGGAGATACAATGGGGCGGGGCAGGGGAAGTGCGTGATGAGCCCATCCCAAAGGGAATTGGTTTCCAGGAATCCTGGCCGATGCCACAAACCTCAGCCCTGCACTGAGAGTCAGGGCGTGTTGGAAAGAACCTTGTCCCAGTCAGAGTGAGAGAGAGAGAGGTGGGTGTGGGGGGGGAATGGCTGGCTGGGGGTATGTGTCTGGCCAGCTGGTTTGGATACAGACCAATAGGTAGATGAGTGGGGGGATGGATGGAGAGGGAAGTGGACAGCAACGGATGTGTGGATGAATAGATGCCCTGGCTTTCCATGAGTCCTCCTTTCCAAATGGTCAGTCACGTCTATCGCTCAGCACTTTGCTCTTAAATGCAGATCACTGGGGTGGGCGCGGCTCGGCCTAAGAGAGGGGTGTCTCTGCTAGACAAAGGGTTTCTTCCCAATGCCTCCCACAGGACTTCCTAGAAGAGGAGATCCTCGCAGCCAGAGCCCTGGGGGTCAGAGCCCTCGGCTGTACTGGGAGCTATACAGTCCTTTAACCCCCCAGGGCCCTGCCTCAAAGTGAAATTCAGCTCCTGGCCACCTCTTATCATCAATGATCTTGTATGTCATGTGTCTGGGGCAAATGCTAATTCAGGGACACTCCATGCTGCCTCCCTAAATGCCCCCGGCCATTCCCGTGAGATACAGGATTCTTCTGCTCTAAGCTATTGGGCAGCATTGTTAAACAATTCCCCACCCCACCCCAGAGGTGGCTGCATCTCAGCACCAGATGAGAGATCCTGGTATAAACAGCCCCTGCACCCCACCCCAGAGGCGGCTGCATCTCAGCACTGGGTAAATCTGCCAGAGGGATGAGGGTGCCACTTAGTGGTCAAATGGCAGAAGTGCAGATTCTTAACCTTCTCCCCCTTGGAGCTCTGTCCTTCATCCTCCCCATGTGGCTGAGGGGAGGGATTGGGAACTTATTCCTTGCACCCCCGTGCTCCATCCCCTTCTCCTGCCACCAGAAGGAGACACTCCCCCCCGGCCAACCGCAAGTAGTGCAACGTACAGACATAGCCCTTCAGCTCCATACCCTAGCCCAGCAGTTCTGGCAACACAATTACTACATGACCCTGGGGGAGGGGGCAGAGCCAGAGCCACACAACCCCGGGTGGGGGTAGAGCTTGGGCTTCAGCTTCGTCCCAGCAACTCTAATGCTGTCCCGGCCCTGGTGACCCCATTAAAATGGGTTTGCAGTCGTCTTTGGGGTCCTGACCCATCATTTGGGAATCGCTGTTGCCTAAACCATCTTGCCCTCAGGATAGATCCACTGCCCGCCTTTGGGGCACAAGTCTGATTCCTCTCCCCTATGCTTGGAATGGACTACCTTCTGCTATTCATCTTCGGCCAGCAGGGGTCGCTCCACCTACAGCTCAGCCCATGCAGCAATTGGTAGCAGAGCAGAAGAGCCTGCCCAACCTATATCTCCCAGACTTGGCTATTAGAAAAGGCCCTGTAATAGCCAAAGTGCATCCTTGAACCCAAGGCTCTAATGTTCCCTCCCCGTTTGTCAGGGGGAGACATGCTTTTAACTAGATCACGGAGCCACTCACACTGGCTGTTGGGCAAGAGCTTTTCTTGATACCATTGTAATGTCCCATTCATTTCCCCCCTTCCCCCAATGGCTTTGCCACACACACACACACCGGTTCAGCATTTCATTCTTTTTATTGGGGATATGGTGGTTGCTGCATTTGGACTACAATCCTCAGAGTTGCCTCTTTGCGAAGACACCCTGACTGCAATGCACATGTGCTGCATTACCTAGAGTTCCACCTTGGGGGAGACACACACTGCAATGTGCCAGCACTACAATGCCTGGCTCTGCCCCTAGGGGGAGACATACACATACTGCAATGCACATAGGCTGCAGTGCTTGGCTCTCCCCCTAGGGGGAGATATCCATACAGCAATGTGCAGGGGCTGCAAAGCCTGTCTCAGCCCTTACTTGGAAATGCACACATCACAAACACACAGCCTGGTGCTGCCCCTCGAGGAAGATATCCATACAGTAAAGTGCATGGGCTACAATGCCTGGCTCAGGCCCTAGGCGAGGACACGCATGTGCACGCTGTAGTGAGCATGGGCTGTAATGCCTGGTGCTGCCCCTAGCGGAAGACAGGCACACACCACAATGTACATGGGCTACATTGGCTGGGGAGATACATGCAGACTGGGAGACAGATGGGGTTGCTCCCCTGCTGTGGGAGGGTCATGACATCAACTCCTTTGCTCCTCCTTTGATGCCAGCATGAAGTGGAGGGTTCCCCACAGAGCCACAGGGCCTGGTTCAGTTTCTGGGCGGGGGATCCCAGCTGGGTGCAGAGATGGAGGGAGGGCAGGCCCATGGCGTTTACAGTGGGGGACAGGCTTGTATAGAATTCATCAGCATGACCATGGTGGGAAAAGGGAACCCCCCCCAGCTTTCCTAAAGTCTATGACAATTACCCAATCACCTCCTCCCCAGCTCCCTCTGCTTGGTGTTCCCTTTCTTAAGGGTTTCCTCAAAAATCTCATCATCCTGTAAGGGCTCCCTCAAAACTCATATAAGACTTCCCATTAAGGATCCCTTGAAACTCCTCTCATTCCATGAAGGCTCCCTCAAAACTCACCTGAGACCTACCCATAAGGGGCCCTTGAAATTCCCAGTCCCACCCTTCTATGAGGGCCCCTTTGAAATTCTCCAGTCCCTGAGAGCCCCCCTGAAACTGTCACGAACCTGAGGGCTCCCTTGAAATTCCCATCATTCCATGAAGTCTCCCTCAAAAATCCCTTGAGTCCAGCTCAGAAAGGTCCCTTGAAACTCCGATCATTCAATGGCGCAGGGGCTCCCAATGTACTCTCCACGATGGCATCCCTAAACCCCCAGAACCACCCTGTGGGTGCCACACACCGAAATGTCTGCTGGGCCCCCCACCCTACCAGGACGCCACCCGCACTCTGCAGTCTCAGCCCTCCCGGCCCCAGTAGCGGGCGTAGGCCTGGCGGAAGATGGGCCGGCAGGGGATGCGGGCACCAAGCCGGGCACAGATGAGGAAGGAGCCAGCCATCTTGCGATGGAGGGAGTAGGTCTCTTCGGGGGGCGGTATCAGGCGGTGTTGCAGCATGATGGGCAGGAGGGTGTGTATCCGGTGCGTCGTGTTCTGGGCCCCAAAGTCGAAGGGGCTGTCGGCAGCAAAGGCCTCGCCCAGGATCATCACGGCGTCTACGTGGGCATCCTTCATTGCCTGGGGGAGAGGAGCATAGGACAGGCCCAGGGCAGCATGCCTGGTGGCAGGAGGGGCATGGGGGGGTAGTCTGGGGACATGGGGGGCCAGGGTGGTGTGAGAGCACCTGAGGGGCACTGAGAGAGCTGAGGGGGTGGGCAGGGACTGGAGGGAAACATGGTGGAGGAGAGCGAGGCAGGCATGGGGGTGGGTTAGAGTACAGGGCAGGGGGCACAGAGGGGACTGAGGAAGTGAGCAGGGCCTGGGTCAGGATGGGGTCAGGTAGCAGCGGGGGACAGAGGATGCAGAGGTATAGGGAGGTGGGCAGGACCCAGGGGCACAGAGGTGACCGAGGGGAGCACACAGGCAGATGGGTGGGTGCAGAGAACTGGCTAGGAGAGCCAGGGAAGTTGGGCAGAGGTTGGAGGCATGGAGATGGCTGGGGGAGCAGGGTTCTGCCCCCAAACATCTGGGCACTTGGGCCCATGCTGTGGCCAGGGAGGGGCCCAAGAGTCTCACCTGAGTCTCATAGCCTGTGAGGAACCGAAGCACGATGGATCCCTGCAGTACCCCAGCCCGGTCGCCCTCAGCCGCAGCCTTAATGATCTGGAATCATTAGCAGAGCAGCCCAGAGGCCATGTGAGATGGGCACAGGGCTCAAAACACTCCTGCCCCACTCCCTACAGTGCCCTCTGCTGGGAGAGGCCAGGGCTGGAATAGCCAGGAACTCCCCCCACTGCCAGAGCTCCTGCCTTCCTCCTTGCAGCACCCCCTGCTGGACAAAGCCCGCAGCAGTAGTAGTAGTCTCACCTCAATGTACTGATCGGTAAAGGCCTTGTCGAAGCTGCGGGTGGCTCCAAAATCCAGCAGCGCCACCTGGTGTCCAACAGAGGGAAGAGCAGGTCAGAATCAGCTGGGAAACCCAGGTCTGGGATGCGATGTGGGGGCAGGGGAGGGATCAGCCCACCCTCCCCCACAAACCACCCCGACTGGCTGGCTGGCTCTGACATGGGGGGGGGGCAGTAGGGGGTTTCCCCATTCAGGGAAAGGGGTCGGTGCTGGCTGGCTCTGATATGGAGGGCAACTGGGGGTGTCTATACCTTGCCGCTATGTGGATCATAGAAGAAGTTGGACCAGTTGGGGTCAGTCTGCATGTAGCGATAGTGGAAGAGCTCCCGCACGCACAGATCAAGGATACTGGAGCAGATCTGTGGGGGTGAGAGAGAGCCCAGCCTGAACACAATGGCCCCCAGTCCTGCTATGCCCCCTCCCATGACAGGTTCCCTCCCCCACTAGGATCAGGCTGGGAACTGCCGCGCCCTGGCTCCACATCCCAGAGTTAAGGTGAAAAGGGTCAGGCATGGAGTGGGGTCTGCGGGCGCAGGATCCTGAGGCAGACGTGAGCAGAGGGCATCCAATGGGAGGTCCCAAGGGGGCATGAGAGAGACTAGGAATGCGTCCCAGCGCATGGGATCCCGTGTGCGTGCGAGTGTCTTCCCCCCCTCACCCTGTTGCGTGTCTCCTGGTCCAGCCCCTGGGCCTGGTCGAGGGGGAAGCCGGGCACCAACTCCGTGGTCAGCACCCGCTGGGTGCTCAGCTCGCTAATCACCGACGGCACATAGAACACCGGGTCGCCCTGCAACAGCTGCCTGTGGAGGGAATGTAACAAGAGAGGCTGTGTCGGTGTAGGCTCTGTTCCAGCCTAACCCCGCCCCCCCCACACACACACACACACACACACAGTGGGGGACTCTGCCTGAGTGGTCGCCTGCACCATCCCCACGGTGACTGTGCCAGAGCAGCCACCTGTACCATCCCTTTACCAGGCAGTTGGACCAATGTGTACCATCTCCCAGGCAACTGTGCCAGAGTGCCCGACTGTACCATACCTACCAGGTGACTGTGCCAGAGTGCCCGACTGTACCACTCCTCCAGGTGACTGCGCCAGAGTGGCTGACAACACCAGCCCCAAGGCAAGTGTTCCAGAATGGCTGACTGTACCATCTTCTGGGCGACTGTGCCAGGGTGGATCTGACACTGACATGGGCACTTACTGAAATCTCATGGCACAGGCAGCCTCCCGCTTGTAGTCGCACTCCAAGGCCAGCTCACGGCTCATCACCTCGATGGCATGTTCAGGGAAAAGCCCTGCAGGGAAGTGGACAAGGAAGGGATGTCAGTGCCAGCGCCCAGCTCAGCCCAGCACCTGGGAGCCTAGAGTGAGTCACACCCTCTGTCACCTTCCAGAGACAGGGAAACTGAGGCACCCAGCAGGGAGGGGACTTGCCCAAAGCCAAATATGGTCAAGCTTGAAACCCAGGAGTCCTGACTCCCAGCCCCTGTTGCTCTAACCCACTAGATCCCACTCCCCTCCCAGAGCTGGGGATGGAACCCAGGAGTCCTGGCTCCCAGGCCCCTCCCCACACACACCACGCTCGCAGAATGTCATTAGAAGAGTTGGGATTTGGCCAGGAGACCAGGAGCCCGATTCTTGGGGGAAGGCCTAGGAGGGCTTGGGCACTCTTGGGACCAGGAGGGAGCAAGGCGCGATAGCACCGGGGGGGAATGTGGGCCCTTGGGCCTGGGACCTGGTACCTTCAGGCAGCGCGTTGCTCAGACTCAGTAGGGAGATGAGGTTCCGGACGTCACTGTTGATGCTCTGGGCGATGCCTGGGTACTGGGGGAAAGGGAAATGGCGTCAGACCCAGCAGCCATGGGGCCTGCCCATGGCACAGATGTCACGAACCAAAGAGGGCACGGGGGGGGGGGACATCGAGGTGCTCAAAGGAGGAGGTTAAATGCAATCACTGGCGGGCAGGTACAGGAAGCTCCTTCAGTCCAATCACACAGATGCCAAGACCTTTCCCATCAGCCTCTTGGGCAAACAGGCACCAGCCACAGAGGGCCAGACTGGGACATGGTGGCCAGTTGAATGGGGTGAAATCACCAACACCCAGTGCCCCGGGAAACCAGCTTCTAACATGGCTACCAGTGCCCCGGGGGACCGGCCTCCAACATGGCCACCTTCGTCCAGTGCTCCGGGGGAAGAGGCCTCTAACATGGCTGCCACCAGTGCCCCAGGAAGACCAGTCTCCACATGGCCACTGCTCTGCTTGCTGGGAGTTCGGGTTTGCTTGACAAGATGGAGGCTGCCTGCAGGGGGATCTGGGCTCGCCTCCGTCCTGCTGATACCTGGATCTTCATGGCCACATTGCGCCCATCCAGCAGCTGCGCCAGATGCACCTGCCCAATGGAAGCAGCAGCGAAGGGGCGCTCCTCAAACCAGGCCAGCCGCCTGCGCCAGTCTGGGCCCAGCTCGCTGTTCAGCACCCCCTGCATGGAGAAGGGAGAACAGCAGGGTCAGTGCCAACCATCCCCACCCCTTGCACCCCCACACCTCAGGTTTGGGCCCCCCACCTTCCCATGACCCCCCAGTCCTCCCCCCTTCCGAGTCTGTCCCCTCCCACAGCCCACTCACCATCATTTGCTTAGTGGGCATGAAGTCAGCGCTGTGCCTGACCCTCTCAAAGATCTTCTGGAGCGCAGGGTTAATAAGGGCGTCGTCTGGGGGTACAAAGCAGAGGAGAGCATCAGAGGCTGTGTTGGGGGGGATGTGACATTGGGGATGCCAGGCTGCAGAGAAGGAGCAGTGGGGTGACACTGGGCAGAGCGAAGGGGGGTCTGGCTGGGGAACTGTCCCCGCAGCAAGCCCCACACCTGGGGGAGGCAATGGAGTTCAGTGCTAGGGAGCCCTTGCAAATAGACTGTAGGGAACAATCCCGCCCTGGATTTGGGGGTGTTGGCAGCCCCCACCCCCCAATCCTCCCGCCTCCTCACCTTGGATGCTCAGCATCTGGCCAAGTTTCAGGGCCGCGCCCCGCACCTTGCACAGGGTCCGGACGATCCGCTCTGCATTGGCTTCAGACAGGAGGGCACCTGAGCTCGAGCGTGATGGCTCACCTGGGGGTGGGGGGAGAACAAAGTAGTGGTCAGGTCAGAGCTAACCCCCCCATATCCTCTGGGGAGACCCCCCACAACAGCACAGATCCCTGCCTGTCAACCATAGCATCACAGATCTGGCAGCCAAGGACCCCCTTCTGGGGGGGAAAAGGGGGTGTTGCTCACTGGAGCTGGGTGACCCTTTTCACCCCACCCATTACTTCACTGACAAACAGCAATTCCATGACTCCCAAACCTCTCCCAAAGGCTTGTGGATTTTGCCACTTTTTTCATTTAGACATTTTTCAATCTTGCAGCACAATTTGGGAGAAATCGCAGGGGCTGGCTGGGCCAGCTCTGAAACAAAATGTTGCGATTTTGCACCTTGAAACAACTTTTTGATCTAACACGTCCTTCCATTAACAGTGACAAATCGTTTCCAGAGGCTCTGAAGCTCAAACAAAATGATTTGTTCACCCCCCCCCCCGCCACCACGAATCCTTTCCAACCTGCCAATGACCCACCCAGCGCTAGTACTCCCCCTGCCCCCCACATCACCGGAAAAGCCCTGCTGGCAAGGGGCCCCGCCCTGCCTGGCTGTCACGTCCAAATCCCCTGCCATCTGATCCCAGCCTTGGCACGAGAATCACACCGGCCATTGGCCCAGCTGGCACCCTGCCCTCCAGCCCAAGCCACAGGTTCAAGCCTTTGGTTGTGACATGCTTTTCTTCCCCCAATCCCCACAGGAGACAATGAGGTCACAGGAAAGATGCACCCCACTCCCATTGCACACACACAGGGCAGGGGTCTCCAGGCAGCCTCAGTGCACCATGGAAATGGGTGTCCAATAGTGTAAGATTTTAAGTGTGCATGTGAGCCAGGGAGTGTGAGATTCTACGTATGCATGTGCCCAAGCGTGATTACTTGTGCATTGAGCCCCTGCCCCCAGGGCAGCTTCCAACACTGCTACTGTTGGCGGTGCGTTAGTGTAAAAGGGCCCCAGGTGTATCACAAGAGCATGTGTGTCCACATGTGTACATGTGAATGAGAGTGCAGGAGGATTCCAATTGTGTCTGTACCTGACCACAGGAGTGTCTGAGTGTGCAAGAGGGATTTCAGTTATGTCTGTACCTGACTGGGACCATGTCTGAATGTGAGAGAAGGATTCTGATTGTGTCCATACTCGACCACCAGTGTGTCTGAGAGTGCGAGGGAGATTCTGATTGTGCCTGTCCAAGTGTGTGAGTGAGTGGGCTGCCACCAGTGTCCTTCACTCACCTTTCACAACCGTTTCTGTCCGGAAGGATTTCTTGGCAGCTTCCACCAGGACCCCGATCCCGACGCTCACGGCTAAGCCTAGGGGACAGAGTGGAGGAATAACACACCAGGCCAACCAGCCCTACTTCACTGCTCTGCAAGCCGCCCCCACACTGACCTCCAGAGCCACCCACCCGACAAAGCATCCAACAAGTCACCCCTTAAGCCCCATGGAGATGCTGACACGGCTCCTGGGAACACTTTTCTTCCTGACCTACTGTCTCCTGCTGCCCTGGAGGCTAGACCACTAGTCTCTGTGTGTGTGTGTCCAGACCGGATGCAGTAGGACTAATGCTATACACAGCACAGTGCCCCCTGCTGACCTGCCTCTCCTGACCCCACAGGGACCCATCCCCCGCCAACTCAGCTGCTATGACCGATTCAATGCTGGGCCCCTCTGACAATGAAGATTGAAGCTGGGACCCCCTAGAGGGGAAATGCCCCGTGTCCCGTCCCCTGGGTCAGCTGGGGCCCTTGTGCAGGGAAGACCTTCCCTTATCAGGGCATGCGCTGGATGCTTCTTACCCCCAAAGTTGGCCAGCCTGCCGAGCCGAGTCGCGGGGACCTTCCGCTCACAGGATTTGTCACTGAGCTGCAAAACAGAGCGGGGGTGACTCTCCCAGACAGCGCCTGTCTCACCCCATGGCAGTATGGGAGCAGAAAGCCCTGTGTACTCCTACACACTGCCTGGTCACAGACAGAAATAAAACCCAGGAGTCCTGTCTCCCAGCCCCCCTGCTCTAACTCACTAGACCCCACTCTCCTCCAGCAGCTGAGGATAGAACCCAAGAGTCCTGACTCCCTGTTCTAACCACTACACTCCTCACCTCCCTGAATTGAGAATAGAGCCCAGGCACCCTGATTCCCAGACCCCTGCCCTAACCACTAGACCCCACCCCCTTACCATATGCCTGTAGGGCCGGATGGGTGGCACCTTGGCGTCTCTGGCCTTTTGCATGTCTTCAGCTGTCAGCCTGCCCACTGCAGGAGAGTTCTGATGGTACAAGCGCCAGGGGCCCATGGAGCGGACCAGGAAGAGGGACAGGACATGGTCCAGCTGTGATGTCCACAGCAGAGAGCCAGTGCCTTGCCCCAGCACAGGAGACCAGCACCCTGGGTGAGCAGGTCTGGGACTGGCAAAGGATTTTGGAATAACACCAGGCATAATGGTCCAGTCAGAGCTGCAAGTCTGGAAAAGGGGAGAAACATCACCCCTCTATGGGTGGAGGCTGGGATACTGTCTGGTACCTCGTGTCCCAGTCTCCTCCCCCCACAAGCCAGCCTGTCCTCCCACCCTAAACCAGATCGACAGTGTCCCCTAGAGAGGAAAGGCCCCAGGCCTCATTCCTAGTCCCCTTGGGTCATCGAGTCCTCCCATCCTGGGGCCAGACTGGAGCTGGCCCCCCCTAGAGGGGAAAGGCCCTGTATCCCATTCGCAATACCCACACTCCCGTCAGAGAATCAGGCATGATAACAGACTTTAAATATGTAAAGGGCTGTTATAAAGAGCACGGGCATCAATTGTTCTCTGTGCCCACAGGAGGCAGGACACGAAGTAATGGGCTTAATCTGCAGCAAGGGAGATTTAGATTAGATATTAGGAAAAACTTTCTAAGGGTAGTTGAGCTCTGGAACAGGCTACCGGGGGGAGGCTGTGGAATCCTCGTCATGGGAGAGTTTTGAGAATGGGTTGGACAAACTCCTGTCAGGGATGCTCTGGGTTTACCTGGCCCTGCCTCAGCACAGGGGGCTGGACTTAATGACCCTTCAAAACTCCTTCCAGCCCTACATTGATATGATTCTAATCTTCTGGCCAGACCCATTTGTACCTTGGCTCCACTCCTGATGCGGTCCAGGTTCCTCTGGCGGCCCCCTGATGCTGACGCAAAGCGAAGAGGGGATACTGGGAACTCCCCCAGGGTCCGGCCAGCCAGGGGGAGCCCTTTCTTCATCACGATCTCAGCCATGGAGGGCTCTGCAGAGAGGGAACCACTAAGAGCTCAAGGCAGGGAGCTTGCAGCACAGAGACACATAAAGCCCTGCCCGGGGACATGTCCTGAACCCACCAATGGGACATAGACACCCAGCATGTGAAGGAATGACCTGGAGTGGTCCCCGAATGTACAGGAGGGTGGGCTAGTGGTTAGAACAGGGGGCGGGGAGTCAGGATTCCTGGGTTCTGTTAATAAATATCACAAACTATAATATTAAATTATCCAGGATTATTTACAAATCCTCACTGGGTCACCAGCCTAATAAACTTTGCTCCAGAGCCAGCAAAAAAATCAAGGAGTCCTGACTCCCACTCCCTGCCCAGAACTGGGGATTGAACCCAGGAGTCCTGACTCCCAGCTCCCCCACTCTAATCACTACAGGCCTTCTGAAGTAGCGTGGGTGCAGGAGAGCCCCCTAACCAACGGATTTTGTGTGGCCCTTAAAAGGCTGGACAGTGAGGCTGGCATCCTGCCTCCAGCACCTTCTAAACTCAGATACCCCATTCCGCTCCACACTGCCCTATAGCCCTCCTCCCCCGGACAGCTCTGGGGCTGACCCCCTGGGGACCTGCAGAGGCGGCAGCATGGACAGCTGCCAGCTGCTCTTAGCCATTGTGCCCCAGGCTACAGACACTGCTAATCTGTGAGCATGAGGCTACGTGCAGAGCAGCCAGTGTAGCCCATCTGGGTGCCCCTGGCTGGCTGGCCACTGCCCTGGAAGCAAGCCTTGTTAACCCTTAGCTCACTGATTCCCCTTGTTGATCAACCCCTCCATGTGAAGCATTCACACTGCCCTCCCGGAGCGAGGGACAAAACTTAGGAATCCTGACACCCAGCTCTGATCACAAGAGACCACTCTCCTCCTATAGCTCAGGAGAGAACCACAAGTCCTACTCCCAGACCCTCCCCCTGCTCTAACCACTAGACAACACCCCCTTCCAGGGCCAGAACCCAAGACTCCGGGCTTCCAGCTCCCCCTATTCTAAGCTACTAGATCCTCTGCCACAGCTGGGGATAAAACCCAGGAGTCCTGACTCCCAGTTTCCCTGTGTTCTAACCACTAGACCCCATTTCCCTCCCAGATTTGCACTAGAATCCAGAAGCCTAACTCCCAGCTCTAACCACTAGTCCCCACTCCCCTTCCAGAGAATGGGAACAGAACCCAGAAGTTCTGCCTCCCAGTCCCCACTATCTTTCTTCTAGAGCCAGGAGCAGAACCCAGGAGTCCTGACTCCCAGTCTCCCATGTCTTCACCATCTCTCTTCAACAGAGGCTAAGGACTAACAGGTCAGAGACTGAGTTCCCTTCTACCACCAGAGGGGTTACACCAGAGACCCACTGCTACGGGTAGCATGGTGGCTTTGTGGGGAGGGGTGGTTCTCTCTACTGCGGCCCCCCGACTCGGAGCACCCCGAGACAGAGCATGTTCCCAGAGGCTGCTGAGTCAGCACCTTTCCTCTGCACTGGGAGACGCAGCTGTGGTCAGACAAAAGGCGGTGCCACTCCTCTGAGTCACCTAGTCCCATCTGGCAGGAGCACGTTTGAAACGTGCTGGGGGCCAGAGAATTTGAGATGCACATGCACACCCCACCTCATCCTGTGACCCTCCACTCACTTGTTCCCTCAGCTTGGGGTCACTCACAGAGCACGAGGCATGGAGCAGAGAGGAGGAACTGGCAATGGATGAACCCAGGAGTACGGATTCCTAGCTTCCCCCACTGCTCTAATCATTAGAACTGACTCTCCTCCCAGAGTCAGGAATACAATCCAGATGCAAAGTACAGGGCATCCGGAGTTCCAATTCCCCACTGCCCCCAAATCCAGTTTTGGAAAAGTCACACAAGCCTGCTATTGAATTTTTCTCCAGGACATATAGGCAGGAGGCAGGTAACTACTGATCAGTCAGGACTCCTGCGTTCTATTCCTAGCTCTGGGAAGGGTGTGGGGTCTCATGGATCGAGAAGGAGTGGCTGGGAGCCAAGACTCTTGAGTTCATCTATTCCCAGCTCAGTCACTGGCCTGCTGTGTAACTTTGGGCAAGTCATTTACCTCCCCGTACCTCAGTTTCCCCATCTGCAAAACACAACTAATGATACTGACCTCCTTTGTAAAGTGCTTTGAGAACTAAAGATGAAAAGTGCTATATAAGAGCTAGGTATTATTAACTGCGATGTTGCACAGGGATTGCTCACTCTGCACTGAAATGCGGCCACCTATGGGGTGGGGCACAGGGGCTATTTAAACAGGGATCTTTCACCCAGTGCACAGTTGCAGGCTGGGATCGCATCAGCTATTTATATAGGGATCCCCCACCCAGTGCTGAAATGCAGCCACCTCTGGGGTGGAACATGGCATGAGTTTAACAATGCACAGCAATACTGTACAAAACAGTTTAGGATTTTGTCCATTCTGATTTTAGAGAGTTTGCTGTAAAGTCAAATTTGGCTCTAAACGTTGAGATTTTCCCAGGTTTACAAAACCTGAGACCAACTGAAAGGGGTTGGGAGTTTTAAAAATTCCAGTGGGGATCATTTTTATTTCAAACCAAAACAAAGCAAAATCCGTTTCTGGCCTTGAGCAATTTGCAATCAGACACTGCAGCACTGAGCTGGGACATGAGACCCCGAGGGTGAAATGGACTAGAAATTGATTCTATAATCAGAAGTGGAAATTGACAGATAGCTTTTCAGTGTCTGCGCTGAGAGGAATGAAAGGTGCCACCTTGCCTTAAAATCTATCAATCTATGGAAACCACACAGAGCTCCATGTAAATTTGATTTGTAAAATTCTTTCTATTTAAACAATTTTTTAGGTTATCAAAGGAAATTGGGGTGGGGGCAGGTTCATACAGTCTATTTCCCACCTCACCCCACCCCAGAAATCTTTAATACACCAACACTGGGGCTCCACAGCTAGATTGGAAGCGCTTTGGGGCAGGGACATCTTTTTGTTTGTATAGTGTCTAGCTCAAGAAAGCTTACCTAGCTCACCACCCAAGAAAGAGATCTTGGAGCCACCGTGGATAGTTGTCTGAAAACTTCTGCTCAATGTGCAGCAGCAGTCAAAAAGACTAACAGTCTACTAGGAACTATTAGAAAAGGGATAGGAAATAAGAAAGAAAATATTATAATGCCTTCTATAAATCCATGGTGCACCCGCACCTTGAATACCTTGAATACCATGTCCAGTTCTGGTTGCCTCATCAGAAAGGATATTGTGGAACTGGAAAAGGTTCAGAGAAGGGCAACAAAGATGATCAAGGGTACTGAACAGCTTCAAACAAGGAGAGATTAAAAAGATTAGGGCTGTTCACCTTAGAAAAGAGATGACTAAGGTCTATAAAATAATGAATGGTGTGGAAAAAGTGACTAGTGAAGTGTTATTGACACTTTCACACAATACAAAAAAGCAGGGGTCACCTGATTAAATTAATAGGCAGCAGGTTTAATGCAAGCAAGAGGAAGTATTTTTTCAGACAACACGACTAATCTGTGGAATTCAGTGCCATGGTATGGCAAAATTATAATGGGGTTCAAAAAAGAACTGGATACATTCATGGTCCATCAATGGATTAGCCAAGATGGTGAGGGATGTAGCCCCATGCTTGGGGAGACCCTAAACCTCTGACTAACAGAAGCCTGGAGTGGAAGACAGGGGTGAATCACACTATAATTGGCCTGTTCTCTACACCCCCACCTCCAAAGCTCTGGTACGGACCACTGCTACAGACAGGATACTGAGCAAGACAGAGCATGGTCTCACCTAGTATATAGCAGCTCTTATGTTCTTACAGTGGGGCTCTGGTCCATGACTGGGGCTCCTAGGGGCTACCACAAATAAACATCTTTGTGAGGCTAGTTACAGTGTTGAGATCTTGCTGTTCTGAGATATTTGTTGATGGCTGGCCTCATTAGTCTGGGCATTTGAACTGGTGGCCTAGATCAGTGGTTTCCAAGCGTGGTCCCCGGGATCCACGGACTATGTCTGAGATTTCCAAAGGGGTCCGCACCTCCATTTGAAATTTGTTAGGGGTCCTCAGGTGAAAAAAATTTAAGAACCACTAGCTTAGAGGGCAAAGGCCCAGTCAGGGGCTGGATTTGCTGGTGTCCCCTGCAGGGGAAAGGCCCTGCATCCCAATCATTCCCATGTCATTAATATATCGTATCGCTTATTTCCCTTGCAGTTTATAACAAGCCCAAACCGACCCCCTCCTAGCCAGCAATCAGGGGTCATTGCTGCTGCCCCTCACTCCCTAGCCACGGGGTTAGGAAACTGACCAGGCTATGGACATGGGATTAGGGCACTTTAGTCTAGGCCCAGGGATGTAGCTTAATTTGGATGCAGCGCAGAATTTGGGCACTGGGCTGGATCCCAGGGCTATAACTGGCTCAGATTCCCTCCCCTCTGTCTGTAGCCCTGTCTCCTCCCCCACCCCCCCATGCCCTGTGCATCACAGCGCGCTCCCCCCTTCCCAGTGCTGCAGCAACGAGCCCCGCTCGCTCCTACTAGCCCAGCCCAGCCCAGGCGTTGCAACAGCCCAAGCCCGGGGCTTGTGTGCAGGAATGCACGTAGGTTCGCATAGGCATCCACCACGTCCCCTGGCACCCAGCGCCAGCCCCACCAGCGGGAGGAGGGGGGGGGCGTGGCTCATGCCTTAGGAGCATCCCCTGCAAACCACGCCCCCATCTCAACCCGGGCGCCCCCTGCCAGCCCCCATCCTCTTATCCCAGCCGGGGCAACCCCGGCCCCGCTCTCCCACCCCCACCCGAGCATCCCCCCTCCAGCCTCGCTCCCCCATCCTCCCTCCAGCCCCGATCCTCTCACCCCAGCCGGAGCACACACACCCCGCCAGACCCGCTCCCCGCAACCTAGCCTGGGCACCCCCCTCCAATCCCCCGAGAGCCGTGCTCCCCCCAACCCCGCTCGAGCATCCCCCCTCCAGCCTCCTGACAGACCTGATCCTCTGATCCCAGCCGGGCACCCCGCTCTAAACTCCGTGAACCCTCCTCCCCACATCCCCGCCCGGGCATCCCCACTCCAGCCCCGATCTTTTCACCCCAGCCGGAACAGCCCCCCCCCCCCGCCTGACTCGCTCCCCCCACCCAGCCTGCGCATCCCCCTACACCTCCACCTCCTGCGAGCCCCGCTTCCCCCATCTCTCCCAGGCAGCCCCCCACCAGACCCGCTCCCTCCCATCCCTGCCCAGGCATCCCCCCTCCAGCCCCGCTCCCCCCTGCCCCGCCCGGGCATCCCCCCACCAGCCCCCCGCAAGCCCCGCTCCCCCGTCCCTGCCGGGGCATCCCCGCTCCAGCCCCGCTCCTCCAGCCCCGCCCTTGTCCGCACCCAGAGGTTGCTTCTCTGCGTCCGCGGTCCCCAGAGAGGCAGGGGAGGTCTCAGTCTGTCGGATCCCGGGGAGGGGGGAGCTGGACCCGCTGTCCCGAAGTCTGGCCCGGCTGCTGCTCCCCGAGCGCTTTTGTTCCCAGCCTAGCAAGTGGCCCCGCTGCCTCTGCCGCCCCCATCGCTCCCCAAGCCAGTGCCATGACGTCCCCGTAGATCCTGGCCAATGGGAGCTAATGGGCGTGTCCCTTACCTCCCCCCCCGCCCCCCCTTGCATACCGGCGACTTGCCCTGTGACACTGGGCTGGCATGGTGCCCACAGGGCGCCCTGAAGCCAGCCACTCGCTGCCCATCATCCACCCTCCGCTGCTCTGCCGAGGCTGCCACTTAGTGGCCAATTATTTTTGGGGGTGGGGAAAATAACAGGGTCACCCAAAGGCTCATTGCTCACAAGGAGGGGCCGGCAGGCTGGATGGGCAACCTGTGACACAAGGTGGCAACAAGCTCCTTGTAGGGGACGCTCCGGCTCCTGAGCCAGACGGGAGCCTGCAGTGGGCTGTCCAGGGGGACATTAGGTTAAATGTCCCCCAGGGTGCCCAGCTGGCCTCCATGGTGCGGGGTGGATGGGTCAGGGTGTGGCTGCTGGATCTGCAGGGTGCATGGGGAGTGGAGAAGTTCCTAGCAAGAGAAATAAAAAACATCAAAAATTGAATCGAAACACAAGACGTGCTTCCTTTTTATTATGGGTATTGTTGTAGCGGCTAGGAGCCTCACTCACGGCCCCATCGTGCTAAGCGCTGTACAGAACAAAAGATGGTCCCCGCCTCTGAGAGTTTCCAGTCTAAGAATAAGACAAGAGACAACAGCCAGACAGGGACAGTGGAGGAAGCCCAAGGAAACAATAAGTCATTACTGATCAGCATGATAGACAGTGGTCTCCACACACCAGCAGCCGAGCCGTTAAGGTTTTTGTAGGCATCATGGCAAAGGAGAGTTTTAAAGAGGGATGAAGATTGTGTGTGTGGAATATAGATTGTTTGTGTGTGAGAGAGAGAGAGGCATACTTTGGGTGTGTGTGAATGCCACAAAGTATGTGTGAGCGAAAGAGGTTTTGTGTGCATGTGTGACAGACGGTACATGTGTTAAAAGATGGTGTGTGTGCACAAGCATGTGCATGACAGAACGTGTGTGTGAGATTGTGTGTGTGTGTGTATTAGACAGACTATGTCTAAGAGACACTGTGTATGGGACTGTGTTTGAGAAGTGAGTGCATGTGTGTGTGTGTGAAACAGACTGTGTGAGAAAAACAAAGAGAGTATGTGTGAGTTTGCCACTCTGTGTGAGATGGAGAGAGCATATGTGTGTGAAAGAGATTGAATGCTTGTGCAAGACTGTGTATGTGTGATATACAGTCAGAGATCAAGGGCATGTCTACACCACAAAATTGTCAAGCTAATTTATGTCGGCATACAGCCACTGCAATAATTACACCATTTGTGCATGTCCACACTTTGCTCCTTGTGATGTGTCCTCGCCAGGAGCACTTGCACCAATTGAACTCTCAGTGTGGAGCATTGTGGGATGGCTTCTGAAAGGCAGCAACAGCAGATGTGAGCACCGCAGTGTCTACACAGACACTGTGTTGATCTAACTACATGGACATTGACTCTATACCTCTTGTTGAACTGGGGTTATTAATGCAGAGGAGCGGGCAAGTGATGTCAACTGGAATGACATTTGAGTGTAGACGCTTACAGAGTTAGGTCAACGTAAACTGTCTTATGTTGACCGAACTCTTTAGTTTTCAGAGTGGTAGCCATGTTAGTCTTTATCAGCAAAAACAACGAGGAGTCCTTGTGGCACCTTAGAGACGAACAAATTGATTTGGGCATAAGATTTTGTGGGCTAAAACCCACTTCATCAGATGCATGAAGTGAAAAATACAGTAAGCAGAATATATAAGTAATTTCCCCTCTGCTGATACTCACATCTTCTTGTCAACTGTTTGAAATGGGCACCTTGATTGCATTGGCCTCATTAGCACTGCAAAAGTAATTTTCCCTCCCTTGGTATTCACCCCTTCTTGTCAACTATTGAGAATAGGCCACTTCCACCTTAATTGAATTGGCTCGTTAGCACTAACCCACCAACTTGGTAAGGCAACTCCCATCTTTTCATGTGCTAGAATATATATTCTGCTTACTGTATTTTTCACTCCATGCATCTGATGAAGTGGAGCCCAAAAAAGCCCATGAAGCTTATGCCCAAATAAATTTGTTAGTCTCTAAGGTGCCCCAAGGACTCCTCATTGTTTAAACTCTTTAATATAGATCAGGCCTCTGTGTTTGTGTGAGTGTGTACACACACGCACATGCATGCACGCACGCATACACACACACATACAGAGTGTACACACACACACTACCTCCTGCTGTCTGGAATGTCAAATTCCAGGTGACATTCAACAAGAGAGTATTGATTAGACAAGAAGATTAGGAGCCAGGATTCCTGTGTTCTATTCCTGTCTCTGGGTAGCAAAATTGCTTTACCTATTATTATTGTGACAGTACTTTAGAGGACGGAACTGAGATCAGGCCTCCATTGTGCCAGGTGCTGCACAGACCCCAAAGCAGATCAGGGCCCCCATTGTGCCAGGTGGGGCACAGATGCACAGTGAGAGGCAGCCCCTGCCCTGAAGAGCTCCCAGTCTAGATGGACAAAGGAGGGATTATTCTCCCTGTTTGACGGATGGGGAAACTGAGGAGCAGAGGGATTCAATTGCTTGCCCAAGGACAGGGGTGCTTGTGGCAGAATCCAGACCCCCTGAGTCCCAGTCTGGTGCCTTTCCCCGAGGCCACCCTAGGTGAGACGGTCCCGAAGTGGTGAGGACACAATGGGATATGGCTGTGAGGTCGTGGCAGGTTCCGGAGCAGCCCACGTGCTGGGCTGTGCCAGCTCCTTGGGGATCGGGCCATGGCTGCCCAGGTCTGGTCTCTGCCCTTCCTGCTGCACTGGGCTGTCCTGAGCGGTACCCTGACCCTTGGCTGGGCTGAGGGGCCCTGTGAGAAGCAATTCCGCATCAGGCAGGAGGGGCCTGGGGCCGAGGGCCGGGCAGGGAGCCCAGTGCAGGTGGTGATGGTGTGTGGGGTGGCTGTGGCTGTGCTGTACAGCCTCATCAAGGCCGTGGCATCGGATCCCGAGTGCGAGGAAGAGGAGGAGGCCGAGGAAGCACAGAGTGAGGTGAGGGTGCAGGGACGCCAGCCTGGCAAAGGAGGTGGAGCCCCTGGCCTGGCACGGGGTGGGGGCGGGGCAACTGGCCTGGCAAAGAGGGGGCCAGGACCACAAGTCCAGCAAAGGGGGTGAGAGCCTACATCAGTCTGCCAAAGAGGACAGGGCTAAAGCCTGGAGCACATGTCCCTCGGCTGACAGCTTTTGCCATGTGGCTCCAGGCCAGTGCAGCACATCACACACCCTCCCATGGTCCCTGTGTCCTGGGCTGGGATCCTGCTGACACAGGGGGATGGACTGCTTTGGACATCCCAGGCCCAGGCCCTTGCCATCCGGCTCTGAGATACACTGTCTGCTGGCCAGGCATGCAGAGAAACCATCCCTAGGGTCATCACAGCTGGAGACAGACGGGGATGGGGGGGGGGGGGGCACATGACATGAGACAGCCACACTGCCCTTGGGCTGCCAGTGAGGGTTTGCCATGGAGGAGCTTGGAGACAGGTCCTTGGAGGAGCTGGGGAGACAGTTATACACGGCAGGGTGAGGGAGGATGGCGGGATGTGCGGGGCCACTATGTACTTCTATCCATCCATCTCCATACACACCCCTCCATCTATCCATCCCCCCACCTCCCTCCATCTCCCATAACCATTCTTTCACCTTTCCCCCCCATGCCCATGCTCCCCTCCCATCCCCGTGTCTAGCCCTGTACCTACTAATCTATGTATTTATCCATCTGTCAAACCATCCTCGTATCCATCCATCCATCCGTCCATCCATCCGTCCATCCCTGGTGGTGGGGACTCCCCCAGGGGAGATGAAGTTGGAACTGCCCTGGCCCTGACCCCAGCTCTCTCCCCACGGCCAGGCTAGCGAGGGCTGCAGCACAGTAGACAGTGAGGTGGGCAGCAAGGCAGTGGCTGTGCCCTCGCGCCCTGCATGCACGCCGAGGAAGGCCAAGGAGAGACACCTACGAAGGCTGAGCCAGATGGAGAGGGAGCTGCAGGGCTTCCTGAATGAGCTGCGAAGGCGCAGGGAGGCGCTGGAAACTCAGGGTCTGCAGGGGAGTTGGGGGGTGCAGGGAGAGGAGATTTGCCCTCCAGAGTGGGACCTGGACAAGCTGCGTGTCACTGTCTATGAGATCTCAGAGGACTCTGACTAAAGGGGTAATAAAGGACTGGAAAGCCTGGTCTGTCTGGTGCTGTTGCGTTGAGGGGGGGTGGCTGGGGAATGGGATGTGGGACTGTGGGAGACACAGGGGTCTAGAGGATAGTGGGGGAATCAGTGGGGGGAGGCAAGGGGCAAGTGGTGGGGGATTGGGATGGAGGATCAATGATGCAGGGATGGGGGAAGAGGGTGGAGGGGGACTGGGGTGGGGAATCACTGAGGGGTGGATGGGGAAGGTGGAGGGAAGACTGTATGAAGGAATCTAAGCTTTGAGATACTTGGAGAAGAAATTATGTAGAGAGGGATAGAGAAAAACTGAGACCGGGGAAGGGGGGGCGCATGGAGGGGGCTGAAGTTTATAAATCCAGAGAGAGAGAGAGAGAATTAATGAATAAAAGTAGAAATGAATTAGATAGATAGATAGATAGATAGATAGATAGATAGATAGATAGATAGATAGATAGATAGATAGATAGATAGAAGGGGTGTATGGGTATAGATAGATAGATAGATAGATAGATAGATAGATAGATCAGGATGGATGTGGGTGTGGGTGTATATAGGGACAGCAGGATGGATATGGAGGTGGATGGGTGGATGCAGGGGCTTGCATGTGGATGGCTGGATGGGTGGAAAGATGGATATGGGGATTGATGAGGGGTGAATGGGGATGGGTAGATGGATGAGTGGCTATGGGGATAGATGAATGTGTGTGTAGCTCTCTGTGGGGCTAGGTGGATGGATGTGTATGTGTGGAGATGGGTGGATGGGTATGGGAATGGATGAATGAGTGTAT